AATGGATAGAAAACTAGTTTGGTAAAATCGATTTATTTTTTTGTTTTTAGGAAGAACCGGTTTATTTTTTTGCTGGGAAATAGAAAAAAGAATTAAAAAATTTCTGTTTTTTTGTTCCCGAGTACAAAATGAGAAACACTTATTTCTTTCAATCACTTTTCACCACTATCATTATCATCATAACCACCATCATCTAGACAAGACCACTGCCACCATCGTCGTCGTTGTCGTTGTACCACCTATGTCGTTGTCACCACAACCACCACCACGACACCATTGCCATCACCACGTGTAACGCCTGTCCCCACACACTAACACGAGACTTTTTAGAATGCTTTGTCCTCACTCGCACACTTCTCGGGAAAACTTCCCAGGAGGTCACCAATCACTTTTCACCACTATCATTATCATCATAACCACCATCATCTCGACAAGACCACTGCCACTATCGTCGTCGTTGTTGTTGTACCACCAATATCGTTGTCACCACAACCACCACCATGACACCATTGCCATCACCACGTGTAACGCCTGTTCCCACACACTAACACGAGACTTTTCAGCATGCTTTGTTCTCACTCGCACACTTCCCGAGAAAACTTCCTAGGAGGTCACACATCTCAGAATTGCCCCAAGTCAAGCACGCTTAACTATGGAGTTCTTCCGTTTCGGGCTACCGAAAGGTAGATGCATCTTGTTAGTATATGCAGTACCAATTAATTCTTATAAGCTATCCCAAACTGTCTAGTCTCATACCTACACAGTCTTTGAAATCCCTTTCTTTCGGGTTTCGATTCGATTCATTCATTCATGTAACTCCCTGCTGGAAGCCTATCAGGAGCCGCTCCTTGTCCATGCCCTTTCGCACCAGTGATCACTCCCTACCCTCGTTAACACTCGGATGTTACATGCCAACCAGCTTCCGCCTGGTTCGTCCTCGAACTACACCGTACGGGAGAGAGGCTCTGCTCTGATACCACTTGTAACGCCCGACTGCTTCAAGAATCACTGACTATCCCCACATACTAACACGAGACTTTTCTGTGTACTTTTTCCTCACTCGCACACTTCCTGAGAAAACTTCTCAGGAGGTCACCCATCCCAGAATTGCCCCAAGTCAAGCACGCTTAACTATGGAGTTCTTCCGTTTCGGGCTACCGAAAAGTAGATGCATCTTGTTAGTATAGGTAATACCAATTAATTCTTATAAGTTATCTCAAACTGTGCAGTCTCATACCTGCACAGTCTTTGAAATCCCTTTCTTTCGGGTGTCGATTCGATTCATTCATTCATGTAACCCCCCGCTGGAAGCCTGTCAGGAGCCGCTCCTTGTCCATGCCCTTTCGCACCAGAGATTACTCCCCGCCCTCCTCAGCGCTCGGGATGTTACATGCCCACAAGCTTCCGTCTGGTTCGTCCTCGAACCACACCGTACTGGGAGAGAGGCCCTGCTCTGATACCACTTGTAACGCCCGGCCGCTTCAAGAATCAACAACTTTCCCTGCCGCCATCACTACCATCACAGTCACCACCACTACCGTCACCAACCACCACCACCATCATTGCAGTCACTGCTGTCACGACCACCACTATGCCACCACGACCGTCGTTACCATCACCACATCATCGCCACCACCACTTCCACCACTGTCACCAACCACCACTACCATCGCTGCAACCACTACCATCACCACCATGACCACCACACCATTATCACCGCCACCGCCACTGTCACCAACCACTACCATCATCGTCGCAGCCACTGCCATTACCAACACCATCATGCCATCACCATCACCACCATCACGCCACCAGTTACTACCACGCCACCACCACCACCACCATTACCACCGTCGCATCCACTGGCATCACCACCACTATGCTGACACCATCGCCACCATAACCGCCACCGTCACTGTCGCCACCGCTGCCACCATCATCACAGCCACTGCTGTCACGACCACCACCACTTCCACCACCGTCACCAACCACCACTACCATCGTCGCAACCACCGCCACTAACCACCACCACTATGCCGCCACCATCGCCATAGCCACTGCTGTCACTACCACGACCATTACCACGCCGCTGCCACCACCACCACCACACCATATGAAAAGGAAAGTGATGATCCAAAAAAATTTTATGCTTAATAGGAATTATTTTTTATTATATTATTTGTTGTGTTATTAAATGCAATTCTCAGATAGTGCCAGGGAACATAATGGTTGTCATCACACCTTCTTATACCGGAAGTGTTCCTCGTTATTGTATATTTACTAGATTCTAGGCTAAAAATATGAAAAATGCAAATAAGTGGGCCGATTAGGGAGAGAGAGAGAGAAAGTGACAAAAGTTATTTACTGATGTCATATAAAACTATTAATGTGAATTTACCTAAGTGGTCACAAGTTTAAATATTATTTAACATCTTAAGATTTTGAATTAAAATAATTTTTTATATAATATTAGAGCTTATATGCTAAGATAAGATTGAGTCGCATGTGAGGTTTGGCTTGATTTTGGCTAATCTCTAGATTTGTCTGGAACTCAACTTTTACTTCTTTCTCACTATGCAGTTTTTCATGTTTTTCAACGACATTCGTCTTATCTAAGGAAAGAATGTGTGTCATTTTAAAGGATATAAAATTATGTTATTTTAAGTGAGAGAAAAAGATAGATAATAAGAAAGAGAAAATGGACAAAAAAATAAAATAAAGATGTAACTCTCGTTTCTTTGCGAAAGTGAGATGACAGGGCAGTTTTAGAATTACTTTAAGAATTATTTATCCAAGGAAGCAATTTCATTATCTATTATTTTTGAAATATATTCCGAAAGCCAGTTTTATAATTTAATTGAAAATAAGTTTTCAACCTTAAAAAACGAAAACTATTTCAATCCGGCCAAATTACCTAGCTATCACCATAACTGAGAAAATTGGTTCGCACAAAATAGTCAAAACAAAAATAAGTGAGAGAGAGCATGTCAATGTCAATGTTGTTGGCAGTGAGAAAATTGTGAGAGGAATGTTTATCTGGTACCTCCGAGTCTCAGGCTCTCTTGGTGTTCGTTCTTCTTCATCTTCTTCTTTTCACTCTTGCTCCTTCTTCATTTTTATTTATTAACTTATTTATTTATTTATTTATTTTGTCTGTCGTTGTTAGCATTTGCTTATTCAAAAGGTGAATTGAGGCTGTTATGGATGGGAAGCGCGAAGGTCAGTGACTGAACCGAGGTAAGTAACATTTTGCATATATCTCTTATTTAAATATCTTCCTACCTTCTGTTTACTGTTTTTCCGCTAAGATTTTTACCTTTTCATATTTACTTTTATTTTTTGTCCTTTGATGAGAGCTATCAGAGAGAAATGGAATGAGAAATATTTTATAGTGGAGGAAAATAAAAGGGAAGAACTTGTTTATTTGAAAATTGAAACCCTTTTTGAAGCATACTAATCTACCACACTAGACAATCTTGCTTTGCATTGAGGAAAAGAATCATGTTAGGGAGAATAGTTTTAGTGCTCCTGCTGTACATACTACACCAACACCAGCTACCTAATTGCATTTATGAAAAAAATTGAAAAGAAAATGGGTGTAAATGCACTTAGGTGTGTTTGTATTTTAAGTATGTACTACAGTAGCATTGAAAATATTCTCCCTGTTTGGGTGATACCCCAGTCTGAATCAATGGATGGAAAGCATAAGACATAGAACCATTTCAACCCAAAAGCTTAAGCGTTTAAGTGAAGGGGCCATCAATAGTTTTATATTATATCTCTCTAACATGCTCCTTCACATAATAGCCTATTGAGTTTGAAGAGTGGACAATGCATCATGCCCGTACCTATGCTAAGAAACTCCATAATATTTAATTATTTATCAATAGAATGGGAACGTTGAAGATTGAACTCGGGAGCGGTGACCCCATAGTCATGGAGACTCTGATACCATGTAAACAACCAATTCAATCCAAAAGCTTCAGCTTTTAGGTGAGATAGTTGTTTATGATCGACGTATGTAGTTGAGACTTGTTAGATGGGATATGGGGTTACATGATAAACTTGTTTTTAGGTTTCGGCTGTGCAGAATCTTTGGTCAACCAGAGCTTGGTTGGAAGGAAGTGAACTAATCTAAAAAATTCAGAACCAGAGAGGGTCTGTGTTAATGATAGGAACCTGGTAATTCAATGATCGAATAGTAGAAGAAAACTGAAATGTAGGTATATTGAATCAGATATAGCAGAATACAAATGGATGTAGGTTATTGGAGAGAACCCTCCACTCCTACAACACCTTGCTGTATAATTCCACCCAATACATGCTTCCCTTCCCCCTAAGCCATCCTCTGCTTTAAGACCCCTAAGTAATTGAATTATGCCATCTCACCACTCAAAGGCTGCCAATTGAACCATTCCAGATGGCACTATGTTACTAACTCAATCCCTTTCGATACTCCCCTTTTTTTAGCTGCAGCCTTCCTTATGTACACCCTTTCAAATCCTGCATAGGATCTATAGGCCCTTTCCTGCTTAGAGTGAAAACTTCATAGAACTAGTTTTCTTTCCCCTTTACGTTTTCCTCTCTTAATCAATGGTTTTCCTTGACATTGTGCAAATATAATTACGGTATGCCAAAAAAGGATGATGAAGTTGTAGACCTCTATGTGTCATGCTTAATTATGTTTCCCACAGCTTTGTCGTTATTTTTCTTTGCAGAAAATACCCATAGGTACGGTTTGGGATAGGTATTTTTATTTCAGTTCATGGATAACCAATATTTAATTAACCATCATTGATGAATTTGATTTAATTAATAATTTACTAAGGGTCATGGACCTATATACCACGCATTTCTGCTACGCCTATGCGTCATTTCGCCCCTTTTTTTACCTGCATGTGATATCCTTGGTTGCAAGCCATTGTACTCACTACCCAAGTTCATTCCTGTGATGATCAGCTTCTTACAAACCTGTTTTGAACCCTTTGCTCTCACTTACAATGTCGTGACTACTTGTTAATGTTAAGCTGTTTTGGATGCGGAGGGGAATGTTGTTCCCCGTGTTTCTCCTAGCTAAAGTGTTAGCCAAACTATGCAGTGGCATTCTATGTTGCTACTTACCATTTCATTTCATCCTGTACTAGAATACCACCAATCTAAACAAAGCCTGGGGTAACACTAACAAAAAGACCATTTCGTTTGATTTTAGACCAAAATCAAAAGTTAGATTTGATAGGTGAAAGATACGCTTAATTAATTACCTTTGGGTTTAAAACATAGATAATATAGAAGTCTTCCTTTCGTACCATTTTTTGTTTTATATAGAAAATAGGACAGTAAAATTAAACTCTTTGTAAAGAACCTTGAGATACACCACTCTAAGAGCTAGCTCAAAGGGTGGGAGTGCCCAAGGCCTTATAAACTCCACATTAGTTGCACATACAACCAATGTGGGACTATATATCTCAACACGCCCCCTCACACAAGAGCCCAATGGGCTTGAAGAGTGGACAATGCAACAGGCCCAGCCTACCTGTGCTAAGAAACGCCACAAGAGAAAATGGGGGGCGGCGAGACTCTGATACCATGTAAAAAACCTTGGGATACACCACCCCAAAAGCTAGCTCAAAGGGTGGGAGTGCCCAAGACCTTATAAACTCCACATTAGTTGTACATACAACCAATGTGGGACTATATATCTCAACACTCTATGCTAGGCACCCCCTAAGGAGAGTTGACCTGGCTCGCCCTTCCATGCGAGGAAGGCACCCTCTCCTCCTATAAATAACCCCATCTTATATGCCCTTATCCTGCCAGTTTCACAAGCCCTCGTCTCAGCTCAACCCCCTAACTTGCACAGTTAGACCTCATTCTTGGGACGTCATTGTCTAGCTTGGTCTTTACCTCTACTAGCGACGATACTCCTATAGTGACTCTTATCCCTCCCAAGGGTACGTATTAGACTTGTAGCTCTCAACGGTACAGTGTCTATCTTAGAAATGAACCAATAAATGACGGTTTTACTTGGCTGAATCAAGGCGTTAAATATTAAGTGTATCGTCAATAGCAATTTAATTTTAACAACATCGAGGCAATTTTGCATTGGCAGCCAAATACCAATAAAGGAGAAAGGGTATCACATTTATTTTATTTATATTCCATGTAGTATCAGATGGGAAGTACATGAATCCCCATTATTCTAGTCCCTTTGTCAAAAGGGGCACAAGCCAGCATTCTTAGTGGCACTAATCAGAAACAAATTGCGTACAAAGTGCCTTATTTGATTTCAAAGTGCTTTTTTTCCTTTTATATTAGTAATTAAATCTGGATCTTGCTATCATAAGTAGCTCCGGCCTTCCAATTTCCAGGGATAGGAATCTTGGGCTGCTTCCAGTAAACCCCAGCACTGCCACTCACTTGGAACCTTAAATAGATTTCACCACTCGGTGGGTTTTGATAGTCAAACACTGCCCCAGAGACCCTGCGCAGGGGCATCCATTCTCTGGTGTTTTTCTGCACCATTGACCACATTTCAAGAATCAAATTCAATACAACTAACTACACATGAAGACAAGTAAAGTAATTGAATAGAAGCATTCTCAAAGTAAAACTTAAATTAAACTAACTACTCTGAAACTAAGCCAATACAAAGTGTAAAGTTGATATTCCAATCTAATTATTTAGAAATTGTTATATTGAGAATAATATGTAAGGGTGCAACGAGATATAGACATACCAGGTACATCTCAACAGCAGAGACATCGAATGCTCCATCTACATAGAGAAGCACAACAGCGAAGTAGCCAGGGTTATTGCTACTTTCTTGGACATGAAACATGATGTTTTGACCAGGGTATTTACAAGACACCCTTTCAAATCCAATATCCACTACACCGTATTTGACAAGCTCTGCAGATGATTTTGCGTCTCGTCCCAATTTTGCAAAGGCACGTGGGCTCATGATGAAGTCTGTTCTGTCTCCCTGACCATAGTCTGTTGCTAACACTATTGCTCCACTGTTATTGCAGAGTCCTGGTACAGTGCACCAAACCTGAATCATCATTTACATTTGACAAATAACAAAGTGTTAGTGGAGATAATTGGCAATGTTTATTTTTATTTTTCATATAAATATATTTTTCTTCAATGATGATGAACCCTTCTTTTACTAAGGAGTATTAGAAATATTGATTATTAGTGAAAATGGAAAGAAAACTACCCGGTAGCATGCACCACAGCCAGCTCCATTCCTCCATAGCCCAGCTACCGCTGCGACACTGCCACCTTGGATCGTCCTTCCATAATCGCGAAACCCACAAGCTCCATCTAAAATATATATTGAATCGACCAATCATATTATATATGTCATGTGATGATGCAAACGTATGTAATATCACAGTGCACATTTAACTTCTAATAAGCGAAGCATACTTGATCAGAAGGAAATCCTTGAAATGTTTTTGGTAGGGAGAAAAAAATATTTAGTTTCAGAATATCAAGATCGTTAGTGAAACATGCAAGTGTGCTTCCCAAAAAAAAAACAAAAAAACTTGAGTAATATGTCTTATTCCTGTACCATATATATCCTAATTCCTAGCTGGCTAACAAAGGTGGTTGGTATAAACAACTTATTTGTACAAATAAATGTTATGGGTATATAGAAGGGGAGGGTCACATACTTGGAGTGCCATAACCATCAGGGGTACTATAATAGGTTGCTCTGGACTTGGTAAAAGATTGCTTGCAGTTACACAGTGCAGGAAAGAGCAGTATGACACAAACAAGGCCAAGTTGGTGCTTAAGACTAAGTTCCATGTCTAAATGACAAATTCTCAGAAGCAAAGAGGAGAACAGAAATGCAGCAATCAAGGGTATGAAGCAATAATAAATATTAAATAAGAGAAGGCTTTATGAGATAGAAGCAAATATATGGAGTCATATTTATAGTACAACCTTAGGTAAATACCAGTGTTGTGATAGCCCACTTTTTCTCCCACATGGATATATAGTATGCAAAAGGATTGGATTAATGATGTGTACAGGTAGAACTTAGGAATATTGACTACCACCCCCCAAATACAGGTTATTTATGGTAGTTTTGGTGTTTATCTAGTTAAACATGTGGTTTAATGTTATTAATTGTCAAAGGTTCATTTGTTGAGTCAAAATCAAAGGCTATGAGGAAACAATTAATGGAAAGAACCTTCAGTCCTACACCATGTATATATATACGGGTTAGACCAAATTATTTTATTATTTAAATAATTGAAAAAATATTTCTTACAACTTAAAGATAAAATTATCGCCGGACCCCAAAGTCAAAAAAATATCATTTTGGGGTTTAGAAAAATAAAATAAAAGGTATTTTGAAAATTTTACTTTTGTCTTGTATCATAAAGTTTACAAAAATATCCTAATTTTTATTTCTCAAACCCAAAACGATATCGTTTTGAAATTGCGAGAGATAAATTTATCTCTGTTGTGCAGGAAAAACGTTAATCCCTTAAATAATATAAGATTTAAATCTGTAAGGTTTAAAAAGATTATCACGTATATAACTAATTATTTATAATTTCACTTAATTATAATTAGTCTATTAAAACATTTTATACTTTAAGATAAGTGACATCAAATAACAAAATTAATTTTAATATTAAATTTTAAATAAATAGATAAAGAAACGTAGAAACAACTAGAGACTTTATTATTATTCAACATTCCACGCCCACTTAAATATTCAGTAGCCAATTTTTGTTGGAATGCACCCACAGATTCATTAATTAGTACGAACAGAAGTACAAATTGAAATTACTTAGGGCCTGTTCTGGTCAAATGGAATCAAGTTAAATTGCATTAGGTAATTTAATGAGGATTAATGAGGATTATAATAATGTTGACATTAGGTAAGTTAGTATTATTATTATTATGCTTGCCAAGTAGAAAGAAAGGGTTTCTAAGTACTAAGTTTTACGCCAAAGACTTAGAATCGGTAGAGGGATAAATTTTAAATTCACATGAAACTCACATTGGGAACTCTAGTTGTCCATGTTTGGTATAAGAATTTTTAAAAAATTTCTGGGAATTAAAATTATCAATAAGCGTTGCATGAAATAATACCACCTGGAGGAAAATTTTTACATAATTTATAGGACATAAATAACCCTATTTTAATATTTTCTTTACTAAAATATCCTCTCTTGCTAAAGCCCTAGTCGTGCTTCACAAAATCGTGGGTTCCTCTCTTCCTTTTTACGACGCCTTTCACTAGGGTTGATCTCCAATGTTGTGTTTTGACCCTTTTGTGGCATATCAGAAATATTTTTTCAAAAATTCATCAAAGGTTGTTTTTTAAAATCAACTCACATTGCAAGGAATCATTGACAATCAACCAAACATAGAATCAGAAAACTTGAGCCAACATTCCTGGGGATATTATTGGCCTACCAAATAACTTTTTGGTAATATTCCTGAAAAATTCACATTCCCAGCATATTCTCAGGAATCGTGATTCCCAGGGTAATAATGGTTTAGGAAAGATAGGGAAAAGTTAGAGGACTGCATGTGATTGGTGGCTATTAAAGGTATTGGCTTTTGGTGAACAAAGAGGTGGATGGTTGGTCTAGAGGGCAAGTCAGGGGCCAAATTCTTATCTCCTTTTATATGCTCTACCATGAACTCATACCTACTAAACCAATTCTTTCATCTGAGCAACGAATGAGTAGGAAGTAATTTTCCTTTAAAGTCCATGATCCTTGGGAAGGATGAGTTATCCATTACCACTGTGAACTTGTGACCGATAAAATGTAATCCAAATTTTATAATTCCATATGTAACGGCTAAGATTTCTTTATACATGGAGTGATAATGATTTTCAGCCTCTGAAAACTTGCCACTTGCATATTCACACACATGCTTCTTGTTGTCTTTTTCCTCTAAAAAGAGTGCTCCACAGTAGCTATCACTAGTGTATGTCTGTAGAATACGCTTTTTATCGATGGGAATCTTGACTGGAGGGAGATTAAGACAAAGTTGCTTCAGTTCTTTCACTGTATCAATTTGCTTTTGAGACCATTGTGGTGGATTCTTTTTCAGCATGGCTGGTGTGGTTATTTGGGTAAACTTTGGGATAAAGTCTCTGTTATAATTGCAAACTCGAGGAATGAGTGGAGTTGCTCAGCTATAAGGTTTTCATCAAGAAACTTCATTAGTTCTTGCCCTATATGTGGCCCGGGGACATATTTTTCACCTTTGAAGTTCAATCCCAAAAACTCAATTTCATCTTTTGATACGTGTGCCTTCCTTTCTAACAGCATGATTCCATGATTGTTCACAATCTCAAAGATTGATATAGCAAATCTTTGTGAGATTCTCTTGTCTTTGAATATAATAAGATATCATCAATATAGACAAGTGCATTGTGGAGAATGGGCTGAAAGATTTGGGCCATTGTTCTTTGGAAAATCGAAGGGGCCTTCTTCAGTCCATATGGCATGATGGTCCATTAATAATGGGCATTTGAAATGCAAAAGGCTATTTTATACCTTTCTTCTGATCTAATACCCAATTGCCAAAAGGCTGCCTTTAAGTCAAACTTTGAAAAAATATGGCCTTCACTGAACTGAAGAATCAGGCTAGGTATTTTGGAAGTGGGAATTTATCATCTCTGAGAAAATGATTAAGAGGCCTATAATCAATTACTAACCTCTTTTTCCCTCGAACTATTTCAAATATTTTCTCCACATAAAAGGCTTGGCAATCTCGTTCGAATTTAGTGGGCTGAATGAGTCCTTGGGCTAGTAAATCCACACATTCCTTTTGGGCCAAGGCCAAGTCTGATGGAGTCATTCCAGAGTGAGTTGCCTTGGTGGGATTGAGATCCTCATTTAGCTTGAAAGACAAAGTGATACATTTTTTTTTTTGGATTTTTCTATAATGGATTAGGATGTTTGAAGTCAATATGAGCCTTTGCGCAGACTTCTTGTAGCTTGAGAGTAACATCCTTGTAATAATCTGGTGCATCCATTAATGAATATAAATTCTGAACTTCAGAATATGGCTGGAATAATCTTTTGAACTTTATTCCAACGGGGAGGAGCTGAAGCCTTTCTGACTTTGTGTAGACATCAAATCCAATCAACAAATCTTTCCCTGATAAATATGAACAAATGAATTTGGCCATCACCATGCATTCTGGAAAGAATTGAATCTTTATAGGCTTCTTTGTGATCAGATTTGTGGTGAACATGTTTCCATCTACAACTCTGAAACTCTCAGTGTGTGGAACCCAATATTCTTTGGGCAATAGAGTTGGATTCATTATAGAATGGAAAGTTTATTGAATTTACTAGAAGATAGAAAAGAATGTTAATTGTTAGTACAACTATCTTGTTGGGATTAAATGTGCTATTTATGCTTTATGATATGGACATTACCGAACACCAAAAATATTCACTTCATATATACTTAATGTAATGGGGTTAATATTTCTCTAGTCACTTGAGATAATCTTATCTTAAGTCACCCCTTATAATTATGTACTAAGGATAGTACATAGTTATAATGTTAAAGTTATTTTTCTCTCTTTCTCCACGTTAGCAGACAAGTTCTGAAGAATTGTCTGGAGAAAGAGGGAAAAAAAATAATTTTAATATTATAACTATGTACTACCCTTAATATATAGTTATAAATGGTAGCTGAAGATAAGTTTATCTCAAGTGACCAATGTAATATCAAATAAATTTGGCAATAGGAATGAATATATGATATACCAACAAAGTTTACACCTTGTGTACTATTCGTTGAAAGATAAAAACACTTTCTAAGAATTTTAGTTTAAACTTGCTTCCTTGAAGTTTATAATTTGTCATTGCTGATATACGAGTACTCAATTCAAATATCAATTTGAATTTAAGAAAGAGCAAGAGTAATTTAACAACATCAAATTGGCGTTAGTGAAATAGGAAATAGCATGACATTCAAGCAACTTCGCATTACATTAAAATGTTAGATTAGTACTTATTAGTTACAAAAAAAATTTAGCAACTACAGGCCATCCAAAATAAATCAGCATGGACCTATACCAAATAACCAAGTACAATTTCTTCCCAAAATAAATAAACAACTAAAAAATTCACAACCCTTTCACATATCCCAATATTTGACTGGGCTTCTTGCCAGCATCTTGATCCTATATATGCCTTTGGGTGATTGGAAAAACATCAGAGACGACACCGCACTGCACATTGCTGCCGGGTCTAAGAACTCTCAAGTAGTCAAGGTCATTTTGTCGCAATATACCGTAGAGAAGTCAAAAGATGCGATGAAAAATTGTTAGGGAACTCGGTCATACAACTTAACTCTTTCATAAGCTTAAATTTTTAGTGAAAGCTATTTTATCTTATATTTTTAATATATCCCCTCGTGTTAAAAGCTATTTTAGGATTAAAGCCTAAACATTTTGATGTAAAATAAAAATGGAGGCAAACTTTATTCTCATTCTTATTCCTAATAATAATTAAGAAATAACCAGATTAAGAATGAAAATAGTGATAGCGCTATGTAGGGATGTATAAAATAATCAAAATAACTGGACTCTTTTATGAATTGAATTGCAATGCACTTGAAAGAATTGATTTTTTTAAATAGTTTATGAGCTGAAATGGTTTTTTTTTTCTCTTATGTATTTTTTTCTCTTATTTATCTTTATTTATTTTATTTTTAATTATTTATATTTTTTAATTTCTAGTTTTATGCATATTTTAATTTTTTTTATCCTTTTTTTTCCCTTAATTTTTTCGTACTTTTCATTTAGCATCATTTGTTATCGACCCCAACTAGTTTGGGATAAATATATTGTTTATGAACCAAACTAATTTTTTTAAAAACTGTTAGAGAATATAATATAAATCATTAAAAAGGCCTTTACCCAACACTTTAAGATTTTGGGTTGGAGTGGTTCTTTATATGGTATCAGAGCTTGAGTGACCATGAGGTCACGAGTTCGATCTTCATCGCCCCCCACTTTTAGGTGAAATTAAGAAAAGCACAAGGCAGACCAAAAATTCGATCCTCATCGCCCCCCACTTTCAGGTGAAATTAAGAAAAGCACAATGCAGACCAAAAAATGGGCTTGTGTCATAACCTCGCTTCAAGCCCAAAGAGCTCTTGCATGAGGGGATGTGTTAGAGAATATAATATAAATCATTAAAAAGGCTCTTACCCAACACCTTAAGATTTTGAGTTGAAGTGGTTTTTTATAAAAACAATTAATTAACCGAACTGATTTTCAATGTTATTGTGATCATTTTTTTTAGCATAAACAATACTTCATTTATCATATTTAGTTATTGTACAAAACCTTTATACAAACTGTAACATTGATAAACCCGTGATATTTTGACATGTTACTATAGTTAATTCAAATTATTGGTCACAATTCTTCGGTCTATTGTTCATACATGTTTGTTGTACCAATTCAAAATTGATTCAAAAATCAGTTTAGAATTGGTTAAAAAAATAAACCAGTTCAATTTTTTGAACTGAATTATAGTTTTCAATTTGATCAAAAAAGGTTGAACCGAACTAAATTATGCACACCCGTAATACTATACTCACATTTTCCTTGCAGTTGTAGAGAGGCAATGTGGTTACTCTCCTTTCCACTTTAATGACTAAAGATGAGAAGGATTAGGCATGCTAATTCATAATCTATATTTTCTTACTTATTTTATTTCACTTTATATGGTCTCAACTGCAGCTCTATTAAAAGAGATACTAGATAAAATTAAAAACCAGAACTAACTTATTTAAGAGGAGAAGATGGAGGTACTCCCCTTAATAATGTAACATATATTGCCTATGTTGAGTGAGTTGTGTAATGTTGGTGAGATCTAATAAAATTGACTTACAATCCTTAATTCGGTCCTTCGAAGAGGCCAATCATGTCCACAAATTTGTTTACACTAACTTCTAGGCTTTTATCCTTTCAATTTTCAAAATGAGAATAAATATGTGGGCCTCTAAGCGTCAATGTCACTAGTGATGCACGCTGCTCTGTTGATATTTTCCTTCAGGAAAAAAGTTTCTATTTTAGTTAGTCGTTAACTAATATTTGATTAACTATTGATTAATTTAATTATATTAATAATATTCCGGCAGTTAACCACTAATCTACAAAGCATTCCTGATACTAAATCACTTTTCTTTAACATGCATGTGGTAACCTTGGTTGCAAACCATTGAATCCAAGTTCATTTCCGTATTGATCAACTTCTGACAAACCTGTTATGAACCCCTCCTCTCCCTATCTAATATTGTGACTATCTGTAATGGTAGTGTTAAGCTTTCTTGGGTGCATTATAAACTATGATTTTGACCAAAACTGGTGTTAATTAAACCAGAATTATGGTTTTTCTTTACTTCTTTGTGACATTCCTCTTAAGTATCCCTCTCAGAGTAGGAGTGTTCATCAACCTATCTAAACTATTATTGATTCACGTGATGGGAAATTTATTTCCCTTAATCAGAGATCTTAACTTATTAGTTGGATAATCAATGAATTAGGGGAAAATGAATGCTTTACTTGGAATAGTAACTGACAATTGAAGTTAAGTATTTTACCAATTGCCATGTGTCAATGTCAATTTAATTTTAACAACTTAGATTATTATGACAATGGAAGCCAAATGCCAACATAGGAGAAAGGGTACTACATTTTATTTTATTCAAATTCCATGTAATCTCATATGGAAAGTACATGGATGCCCATTATTTTAGTCTGCAAGACAAGAACACTATTACACTAACAAGTAACATCCACCAAGCAGGACACACTTAACATTCTTCGAGTGACACTAATCAGAAACAAATTGAATACTAGTGTCTATCTATTTCAAATCTGTTCCTGATATCTCTTTTAAGTGTTTTGTTCCTTCTAATTAAGCTGAACCAAAGTGTCATATGCAGCTCCAGCTTTCCAATCACTAGGGATATCATTCTTGGACTGCACCCAATAAAGCCCTGCACTGCCACGCACTTGGAACCTCAACTTGATTTCACCACGTGGTGGGTAAGCAAAGTCAAACACTGCCCCAAAGGCCCTGCGCATAGGCGTCCATTGTTTGTAGTATTCCTGCACCATTCACAACATTTCAGTAACAAATTTCTGTATAAACTACATAGGGAGACAAAATAATTGAATAGAATCACTCTCAAAAATTTAAGTCAATAAAAGTGTAAAAAATCAATTCAACTCAAAAATTTAAGTTAGTGGATGAGGTTATTATCTCTAACACGTCCCTTCATACAAGAGCCTATTGGACTTGAATGATGGACAATGCACAGGATCATGCTAAGAAACTCCACAATACTAAATTATTAATTAAATGGAGACAGTGAGAATCGAATCCTCTGATACTATATAAAGAACCAATTTAACTCAAAAATTTAAGTTGATATTTCAATCTAATAATTTAGAAATTGTTATATTGAGAATTATATATATATATATATATATATATATATATATATATATATATATATGGTTGCAACCAAATATATGTATACCTGCCACATCTCAACAGCAGCAACGTCATATGTTCCAGCTACATAGAGAATCACGACAGCAAAATAGTCAGGGAATTTGCTGTATTCATGGACCTTAAACACGATGTTATAACCAAGGTATCTACAGGGGACCCTTTTGTATTCAATATCCACTACACCATATTTGAACAGTTCTACAGATGCAACTGTGTTGCGTCCCAATCTTGAATAGCCACGTGGACTCATGATGAAATCTGTTCTGTCTCCCTCACCATAGTCTGTTACCACCACGTATGCTCCAGTTTCATCACAGTATTGTGGTATTTTGCACCTAACCTGAATCATCATCATTTATATTTGGTAAATAAACAATTATTGGTGGAAATACTTGGCAAATTTTTATTTTTTCATATAAATATTTTGTTTCAATAATGATGAAGCTTTTTTTTACTAAGAATTATTGGAAATGTTGATTATTAAAATGAAGGGAAAGAAAAGTACCTGATAGCATGCACCACAGCCACTTCCATTCCTCCATAGCCTAGACACGCCTGCAACACTGCCATCATTGACAGTTTTTCCATATTCTCCAAAGCCACAAGCTCCCCCTAAAACATATATATATATATATATATATATATATATATATATATATATATATATATATATCAATTGACCAATCATATATTTGTTATGTGAGGCTGCAAAAGTAGTATAGTGTCACATTGTCACAGTGCACATTTTACTTCTAAAAAGCATCTTAGGGCTATTTGGTAAGACGGAGAAAAAAATTGTCTACGAGAGTGAGATGATAAAAATAATGTAGCTATCTTTGATAGGAGTAAAGTAAAAAAGTGGTTGGCAAAATTTTTTTGATGGGTAATAATTTTACACATGATATGAATAGAAATCTTTACCATCCAAGGTATGGTAAAATAATTTGTCCACAGCCAACACACATTTTTTTATCTTACCCAGCAATAAATTTTGGCCTATCAAATATCTTTTTTTATATTACCCAGCTATAAATTTTCCCCACCATGTTCCCGACAAATTTTTTTGACTGGTAAAAAAAAAACATCTCCTCTACCAAATGTCCCTTTAAAGGAAAATCATGTACCATCGAATCAAAGTAAATTCTTTAAATTTACTTTTCCAAAAAAGAAAACAATAATTAGTTTCAAAATATCAAGGTAATTAGTGAAACATGCTAACATGGGTATGTATCCTAATTCCTAGTATGCAAACAAGCTAGCTAGAAGGGTAGGGTCACACATACTTGGATTCCCATAGCAATCAGGGCTACCATAATATGTTGCTCTGGAGTCTGTAAAATAATCCTGTGAGTTACACAGTGCGGGTAAGAGTAGCATGACACAAACAAGGCCAAGTTGGTGCTTAAAAATAAGTTCCATGCCTAAATGAAAAATTCTCAGGTGCAAAGAGGAGAGAAATGTAGCAAGTAATTAAGAGTGACCAATGTAATAAACTGAAGTGTATGAAGCAAGAATAACTATCAATGATAGAAGGCTTTATGTGATAGGATGCAAAGATATGTGGTCATATTTATAGTCGAGGCCTTAGATCTAGATGCTACAGGTGGTAGTCCACTTTTTCTCCCACTATGGGACTATGGAGTGAAAAAGGATAGGAATAATGATGTGTACATGTAGACCCTAGCAATATTGATTGAACTCAGTGACCAAGAAATTTTTTTTAATGTCTACACACTTAGAATAAAAAAATAAAAGAAAAAAAATTTAAAGAAAATTTTAAATATATTAAAATACAAAAGAATATAAAAAAAAAACTTTAACTTAATATAAAAAAAGTAATCAAGAGTCAATTAAACTGTTATAATAGAACATTTTGGGTCCTCAACAAAAATTACGGGCCTCAATTTAATCTTTTAGTGAAAAAAAATCTACTCGTGATCCCTCAGAATTTAAAAATAGACCTAGATAATCAAAATTATGGTCTCTGAAATTCAAAAAGATCCACATTAATTCATCAAAAGGACTAACATGGGTCTATTTTGGAATTTAAAGAGATCATGAGTTGATTTTTTTTTAAGAGATTAAATTGGGTCCTGTAATTTTTGTTGATGATCCAATTTTTTTTTTTTTCTCCAAAAAATTTGTGTGTGTACAGGTCCGCCACTTATTGAAACCTCAGGGAACGGGGTCCTCAATTTGTATAATATCCGAACTGATATATTATTACAATGGCAAAATGCCTAACTTTGTTCTATTATAACAGTTTATGGGAAGATCCATGTACTTGCAGCTCCACTCAAGTTTCAAAATTAGTTTGCAATGTTTTTGTTACTACTTCAAATTATTTTGCCTAAATATCTAACAGAGACCTTTCAATCTCAACAATTCGTTCTTTGAACACAATCCATTCACCATTTGTATCATCCCTAATAGACATTACTTTAACTTACATATTATCGGCTTCTTGAACTGTGTATTAATTTGAATAGGAAATTATAGGTGTTTGTTTGACATGTCTTTCTTAACTTTATAAAAGTTCTTATTATAAAAAGGGAGATTATATTTATTATCTTTTTTTGCTACCTTTTATTATCAAATCTTAATCGTTAATTTTCGTCAATCTAACGTTTATAATTTATTGGGTCATACTTATTAATAATTATTAATTTTCAATAAATTATAACAATTAGATTGGTGGAAATTAACGATTACGATTTGGTAGTAAGAGATAGTAAGAAAAAAAGTATTAAATATAACATTTCTCATTATAAAAATAGCTTTTTTTATAAAGAAGAAAAAAGAAAAGCTAATTTTTTTAAGGGTTTAAGTTTTCTCATGTTGTAGGATAGTAGGAGAGAAAAAAAGTAGAGAGAAGTTAAATGTGGGTCCCATCTTTTATATTAAAAGAGAAAAGAAAAATTAATTGGCACAAAAAACGAATTTGTATAAGAAAAAATGTTACTCTCATGTAACATGAGAATATTATTTCCCTTTTTTTAAAGGAAATAAACGTCTCATATTACAGGAGATGTTCCTCTCCTGCGCGTAGAGACAAACACAAGTAGGGCTCATTGTGTTTTTTATAAAAAAAAAAACTTGACCAAAAAATGATTGATGAGTGGAAGGAGAAGTGACTTCTAACGTAACATGAGAGCCACTCCACCCTTACTTTAAAGATGTATATCATCTTTTTAAAATTCTCATATTTATTTTATAATTTTATCCTTATTCTAAGTTTGTATTTATTAATTTTATTCTTTACTCTAATAATTTATCCTAATAATAAATTATTTCATCTTTTTTCCTTCAAAATCATCGGAATAACTTTATAAAATTATCAATATTTTTTAACTTTTTTTTCTTTAAACTTTAGCTTGAAAGTATTTTTAACTTTAAAAAATGTGCCAAAAAGGCACTAAGTGGAAGACACTTGTGAGTACTGAGTAGACCCACAAGATCAGAACACCATTTTGCATTCGGTTTATAATTTAAAACTTTGGGCATGTGTTAGTTTGAATCTAACTTTGATTGAAAACTATTTTACTTCAACTTACAAGTCTTACTCTCAATCTTAATCATTGATTTTCACTCATCTAACGATTGTAGTTTAGGAAGTTATATTAATTAATTAATTATTAATTACACTACAAATGACAACTGAGATCAGGAGTAAAACTTAGAAGTCTTACTCTTGAGTCAAAAGAACTCTTCCCATATATATATATATATATATATATATATATATATATATATGGCAAAATGATTTGTAATGTGACTGCATATAAGCATTGGTGCAGTCACCTAAAAACTATGTCGTTTCGGGTGAGAAAAAGGAAGTTCGCTTTCAAAATTAATTGTAGAAAAAGGAAACATTATATTTATTTCCACCTTTGTATGGTTATGATTCCTCATAATTAATGTTTTATATTTATTTCTATCTTTGTATGGTTATGATTTCTCAAATTTAATGCTTTCACACTATAAAACGACGTAGTTTTATATGACTGCATCAATCTTTAGGTGCACTCACTGTACATCTGCTAAACCCTATATATATATACATATATATATATATAGGAGGGATATTCTCACTACCAAAATTTTTCACTACCAATTTACTTTTTATCTAATCACCATTAGATTAACATTTTCTCTCTCTTCAAACACTTTTTAACATTATCTCTCTTTGATCCAATGGTGATATGATGGGTAATAAGTTAGTAGTTAGAATTTTTGGTAGTTAGAATATCTTCACTCATATATATATGGGTCAAGATTATTTTATATTCATATAAGTTACATTCTTAATCTTATTCGTTGATTTACTTATATTTAACGTCTCTAATTTTTAATTATGTGAATCTTTGATACATGTGGATCAATAAAGATTAAGTTTAAGCTTTATTATTTTTATATTGGTTGTAAGAATATCTTGTTTCTATATATATATATATATATATATATATATAGGGTTTTACTTTTCTCATGTTGTAGGAGAGAAGTTATCTCATGTTGTGAGATAAATTAAGTGGAGCCCACTAATTTTAAAAAAAGGAAAAAGAAAAGAAAAGAGATGCACGTCTTTTTATGTGAGTGTAAAATGAGAGAGTAATCTTATGCAACATAAGAGTATAATTTCTCATATATATATATATATATATATATATATATATATATTAAAGTTTCTTATATTGTAGGAGATAAAAAGTGTATGAGGTCATATAAAGATAAGAGAGAGAAAGAAAAAAATTGGATCTTAGGATTTAGGGTTTAGGGCTACAATATAAGAACTTTAAACTACAATTGTTAAATGACTGAAAATCAATGGTTAAGATTGAGAGTAAGACTTGTAAGTCTTAGGGTTTAGGGTTTAGACTTGTAAGTCTTACTCTAGAATCAAAATATCTCTTATATATATATATGGCAAAAGTATTTCTACAGCCACTTTAGATAAGCTTATCTACAGCTATCGTTTATAACTATGTTCTCCCGGGAGAACATAGTTATAATATTAAAAGTTGCTTTTTTTCTCTCTCCTCATTTACTTTTCAGAACCTGTCTGTTGACGTGAAGAGAGAAAAAAAAGCAACTTTAATGTTATAACTATGTTCTCCCGGGAGAACATAGTTATAAACGGTAGCTGTAGATAAGCTTATCTAAAGTGGCTGCAGAAATGTTTACCCCATATATATATATATATATATATATATATATAACATTAATTTTTGGTTAAATAATACGAGGTTGTTTTTTTATTGGTTGAAAACAGAAAAGACAAATTTCGAGGGTTAGTTAAAGCTATGAAGCACCAACAATTCAAAAATCCTGACGTGTCATGTCCGACACTTTCCAACACTGTTCGACACTCCAACACGCATTATAGAGACTCAAAAAAAAGTTCAAAAGATGAGTTGTGTTGTATTTTTAGTTCTAACTATTAGATTCGTTGGATTACGATTATCATTTTATTGAGTTTAATATATATATTTAGGATATCTTATGTTTCTTTGCAATATTGATGGCTATTATAAGTTTAGCTTCATTTTTTTGTTAAATTATTGAATATTAAATATAATATACACTACATAAATTAAAAATATTATTTAATATCAAAACGTGTCCTAACGTGTCGAAATCTAATATTTTTAAAATTAATGTTAGAGTGTCGTGTCGTGTCGTATCCTATTTTTGGTATCGATATTGGTGCTACGTAGAGCTCAAGTAGCAATACCAGCCCCTCAACGAACCAACTATCAAAAGAGTAGAGGTTCAAATACCAAAGAAGAGCTTAGAGGCAAAGATATATAATTGTCATATTGTTCAACTTAGGATTAATCTTATACACGTGTGAGCTTCTTTCCCCACCCAGGTCATGGGGATATTTGAGGACCTGACCTGTTGCAAAGGAATAATTAGGATCATAAAATAAAAAATAAAAAACTGAAAAGACAAAAATTGAACCTATTGATAACCTTGGAAATAACACACTAATGTATATTCATTTTGATGTTTACCTTGATAACATGTGGTTTACTGCTATTAATTCTTGAAGGTCCGTTTGTTGGGTCAAAACCAAGACTTAGGAAACAACAAATGAACTGAACCTCATCAATCCAACACCATACATGTCAATCCCCATTATTTTTGTAAGCTAATAGAAAATTTAAGGATGTAAGAATTTAAATGATAATTATATTCGTAATTACTAATAATTGCACTTAATTATAATTACTCTATTAAAAAATTTCACACTTGAGAAAATTTATATAACAGAGACATCAAACAATAAGATCATTTTTAAAATTATAATATAAATAAATAAATCAAGCAACCTATAAACAACTATAGTTGATTATTATTCTAGATTCCACACCTACTTAAATATATAGCAGCCACGTTTGGTCGTAACGCACCCATAGATTCATTAACTAGTATGACTATGAACTCGACAAATTGTAATTGATTTATTTGGGGCTTGTTCAGGTCAAATGAAATCATATCTTATATGGTATAAAAAGTAATAATGGTGATAATAATAATGCTAACACTAGGTGCCTGCATTTGTACCTGCCGCCAAGTTATTAGCGGGTTTATGCTTGCAAGGTAGAAGGAGAATAAATAATCTGTCTTCGTTAATTGTTTTAATTTGTTTATATTTTTGACAATTTGTTAAGTTTTAATTAACCAAAATGATGGTAGCTCAGTTGGCACATGAACGTTGAGTAAGTGGGGGTGAAACCATCTGTTTGATTCTCTCCAGTATTATTTTTGGGAGAAATTTAAAATTTTAATTTTGTACTCATCCCAAATAAGATTGCCTTCCATTAAAAATACATGTGATTTATTAAAAAAAAAAAAGCCAAATCGAATTAAGACGAGTTAATTTGTCTTAAAACATAACATTGAATACGTAACCATCTCTTTTACTTTTCTTGCAAAATAATGATAATGATATTACTAAGGATAAGAGTAGTAAAAAAAAACATGATATGGTCATGTGGGAAGATCACAACCATATAAAGGTAAATCAACGGTTATGATTTTGTAATTATCTATTTTATCATTTTTTTTCTCTCTTCATTTTTTACCATTGATCCACTTTTGTATGGTTATGATTTCTCACACGACATGGTCATGTGAATTTTCACATGAGAGGATCCAGATCCATGTAATAATAGATAAAAACACAAAATGTTATTAAATTCGGTCCCATTATTAATACGACTGGGGTACTGGATTACTAATTTACTAGATCATTAGTTTAACCGGTGTCATCATTGACCGGACTGGGGTACTGGATTACTGGGTCATCAGTTTAACCAGTGAGTTATCAGCTGACCCAGATAAATATATGTAAATATATATTTTATACTTAGAAATCCACAATTATACTCAAATACATATAAAAAATGATATCAGTTCCAAATATTCTAATATTGAAAACAATAAATCACATATCATTATTCAACTAACATAAAAGCATATAATACTTATCCTTAGAGTAAATATCATTTTTGGTCCTCAGCAAATTTCACGATACCCGCTTTAGTCCCTAACAAATAAAAAGGTCCATCGTGGTCCCTAAAAAATTCAAAATGGACCCATTTTAGTCCTTTTAGGGACTAATATGGATCTTTTTTGAATTTGTGAGGGACCATGATTTCAACTAAATGTGTCCATTTTGAATTTCTTATGGACCACGATAGGTCTTTTTATTTTCTAAGGACTAAAATGAAAATTTGTTGAGGACCAAAAAAGGTATTTACTCAATATTAATATTTAACATCTATCAAAAACATACAATTTTTTTTATTTTTTTTTTGTAATCATACAACTTTAACTTTTACTGCTATGAGAAAACAAACAAATTAAAATGGGTTTGGCCGTTTGTGAGAAAAGGTTTGGCCTTTTGGGAGGAGTCCTCCTAGGGAACGAAAATGTGGGAGAAGTTTTATTCTTTTATATTTTTATTTTTATAAAAAAATTATATGACCGTGAATTTTTTGAAATAGCTGGGTCACTAATTTTGGTAAATATTGATCGAATCGAATTGATTTTCACTTGATCAGTTACATGACTTGTCTGAGTGACTTGAATCGATTCGATGACCAGTTCACAAAGTTTTGGATCGATCTGGTTGTTGATTCGAGGCGGGTTTGATAATAATGCTTCTAATACCATATGACTAATATTTACAAGATGACTAAAAAATAAAATAAAATAAAAAATAAAAAGTGGATGAAAGTGGTGTTCTTTTTATGATTATAGTAGAGAGAAACGTGTGGGATACTTTCATTCAAGGGCAAAGTATAAGTCAACCATTGGCAAGGAGGCATCCAATCACCAATATTTGAAATGTATTGGAGTAGGTCGCTCCTTCCGTAGTGCGCCAAGCTGCCAAGAGAGTGCTTAACATGCAGTTGTTAATTCAAACAGTACGTGGATTGTTTTTGCCAATAGTTTTTTGAGAAATAAAAATGTGTTCGATAATATGTTCTATTTTTATTCTGAGAATGAAGATTGTGATTGATAACACAATAAATAATGTAATAAAAAATCATTTCTATTAAGCATAAAACAAATTTAGATCATCGCTTTCCTTTTTATATGGTGTAGTAGCGGTGGCGGTAGTGATAGCGGCGTGGTGGAGTGGTGTTAGTAGTGGTGATGGTGGTGGTGGTGACGGCAATGGTTGCGGTGATGGTGTTAATAGCATGGTGATGATGGTGACGGCAGTAGCTGCAATGATGGTGACAGTGGTGATGGTAGTGGTGGCGAAAGTGGTGGTGGTGACGGTGACGATAGTGGCTGCAACGATGATAATGGTGGTTGATGGTCGTGACGATAGTGGCTGCAGCGATGATAATGGTGGTTGATGGCGGTGGTGGTAGTGGTGGTGGTGATAGCAGTGGTTACGACGATGGTTGTGGTCAATGTTGTCAAACTCGAGTTTCTACATAGAAACGGAAAGAGGTGGTAGAAACGTAAAACGTAGAAACGACACGAAACGTAAAGTTTCTGCTTTCTAACACTTAAGGTCAAGATACAAAATTATATATATGCATGTAAAAAAAATATCACATAATGAACATGTGTGTTGAGTCACTTATCTATCTAAAAAAAATTATTTTTCATAACCAAGTATCAAAATTATAAACAGTGATAATTAACAAGTAATGAATAACCAATCTGCTCTAACTGCTTTATACACTCTGCAGATTTTGGATCATCGCTCATCAAGATATAATTCCAATTCTTTCAATGCACATAATGATCCAAAAACACAAAACGATTCTCATAGCATAACTTATAATAGAATTGCAGCTTTATAAGACATAATTATAAAAAATATATATCCAAACAAAAAAATATTAAGATACTGTGAATATGATTTTGGGAAAACGAAAATTAGATTTTTTTTAAAAAAAAAATTTTGTAAATCTTTTTTTATTCAATTTTTAGTTTTAAGTAAAAATGGTCAAAACGGTAAAAACTTACGTTTTTACCGTTTTTACGCGGCCTTTCTACCAGTTTTTACCAATGACAGTTTTTACTTGAGTTTTAACACGCATCACTCTAGTAAAAACGTAAGTTTTTACATTTTTACACTAGTTTTTGACAATAATGGTTGTGGTGATTGATGACAGTGGTGGTGGTGGTAATGACAACGACACTGGTGGTACGATGACGACAACAATGATAGTGTTGGTGATCGTGTCGGGATGATGGTGGTGGTGGTAATGGTAAGGGTGGAGAGTAACTGAGAGAGACAAATATTTATCATTTTGTGTCCGGGAACAAAAAAGCAAAAAAAAAATTATTCTTTTTATGTTTCCCAGCACAAAAATTAAATTGGTTCATCCTAGAAACAAAAAATAAACCAATTATGCCAAACGAGTTTTCTATCCATTTCTTTTTTCATTTTAAACATTTGATGTATGAAATAATTTTCGTCAAAACTTTTGGTGGAAACTAAATTTCGTCGAAAATTTCGATAGAAAATTTATTTTTGTAAAAATTTTCATCGGTTGAAAAATTCTGTTGCTTTTCAATGAAAATTTTCCGACGAAAAAAGTAATTTTGTGATGAAATTTTCATCGTTTACAATGTAGAAATTTCATCAAAAATATGATCTTTTTTGGTGCTATGAAGGGATAGGATATTGTGACACCCAAGTTATGTTACACCCATGTGACACCGAGTCAAACTCACCGTTAGATCGTTTATGTTGATCCAACGGTTATATTCATTTCCATCTTTGTATGGTCATGATTTCTCAAATTTAATATTTTATATTTATTTCTACCTCTGGTTATGATTTCCCATATTTAATGCTTTCACTTTAAATTTGGAAAATCATGACCATACAAAGATGGAAATAAATATAACCGTTGGATCAACATAAGCGATCTAACGGTGAAATTGACTCGGTGTCACATGGGTGTAACATAACTTGGGTGTCACAATATCATATCCCTGCTATGAAAAGTACATAAATAATTTTGTTAGAAATTTTAAATTTAATTTAATTTGTAAAATATAATAATTATATTAATTTTAAAAAAAAGGATAAAATGATAAAAATATCTTATTAACCCTCAATTTTCCTCCTTTATCATTTTTTTAACTACCCTTCAATTTTCTTCCCTTCCTTCCCCTCCCGCCCCCTTGGATCCCCTTCCTTCTCCTCCCCTCCAAACTCTCAAACAAAGCCTTAACATTTGGCCTGCCGATGAGATTTTAACTAAGTCTCTCTCTCTCTTCATTTCGCCAACTCTTAAATTTTTTACCGTTTAAAATTTGTCATATTCTGTTTTTCAGTTTTTGCTAAACATTGACATTAATGGTAATTTTAGTTCTTGTACTGACACAAAATTACAAAATTTAGAATTAGAATTAACCAGAAACCAATCATGCGTACAGCGTATTATAAAACACGCAGAGATAGATCCCACTGCGTTCTGTTGGGGGGAGGGAAGTACAATCTATGGTATTTAACATTGAGACTCCAATGCCTACTATTTGCTTAGACCAGAACTTGGCAGGGTGGTATGCTTGGGCTGCTGGTCTTCTAGATTCTCCATTTCAGCTTATCTACATTTCCACACAATTTTCTGTAGTAAGGAAAATTTCCATCAGAAAACATGAGACCATGAACAAACTTCCACAGCCTTTGATTAGAGCAGTTAATATGCTTAGCGCTACACATTTAACCATTCTTGTTATACATAAGTGCTATCTTTGTTTTACACAATCCCCCCTCCCAACAACAAAAAAAAAAAAGAGCCCTATTGTTTTAAAATGTGAAAAGTGACAATCACTATAATGACCATAAATTTTGACATCACTCTCCATCAATGGGACATTACCATTTGCAAAATATACACATCCAAGATTAAAGGACCAGCATATGTGCACGGCACATAATTCGTATGTCTGCCTGACATTTATCTCCAATAAGTGGTCTAAAGCAAGCAGACAACTAACAAGAGATTAAATTAAATCAAGCCAAATACAAAGGGGAGATTTTCCAATTCAGTCATAATCTGCACTCTTATAGCCATATGTGCAATATTCGTAATGCAAAGGTAAGATGTAAACAAGTATACCAAACAGCCCAAGCAGCAACCTTAGCATGACCGTTCTACGTGTCTATTCTCCTGATAATCTTTCTTTATCATAATTTTAATTTAGGGGTAGGCGGTAGGAAAAAAATTGCATAGGTCGTATGGCCATGAAAAGAACAAGCAATTGCTCTCCTAATCGAGAACCTACTCATGCTTGCACTAAGTAGTGGAATAGAAAAGAATAGAAACTCGAGGTTGTGGATGTCACAGTCAATAGAATCTTACTATTAAATCATTTAGAGTGAGAAGCTTATTGAATACATGAGGTCACCAAAAAGGTTCACTGCCTTAAGGCGTCTGGGCTTCTTTTTAACACAAACATGAAACACTAACTCATGGTTGGTGCAGTCATTAGACCATAGACCACTTCAGACAAATAACCATTGTATATTTGCCAATACCAAAAGCTTAAAGCCAAAGTATAAACGATAAAATTATTACCATAGGTGATCACCTCATTGACCAATCCTATCTTTACATGCATTAAATTTATTTATGGGCATCACAAACAAGCTGGCAAAGTAATAATGAACAACCACAAGATATTGAAAAATTGTTGGTAAAGGGTACAGTTACCCTTTCCCCCAAGATAAATTTATTCAATCTTGAAGTTGCAACAAGTGTTTAATATGACAATGATACCAGGCGTACTTTACCTGAAAACTCCAAGAAAATTGCGATTGAAATCTCCAACAGTCAAATAAGTTGTGCCTTTTTAAGGTCAGAAACAACTCCATGATCCTCAGTGCTCCTCGCATTGTATAATACCTACAAAAAGACAAGAACTTTTAATTTCCCAGGAAAATAAAAAAATAAATAACTTTTAGATGGCAAGTACCTTATCTATGATTCCATACTCAACAGCTTCACTAGGACTAAAATACTTTGGGCGCTGAATATCAGCTTCAATCTGCTCAGGTGATTTTTCAATATGCTTTGCATATAAATTAACCTTGAGAAAATTAAACAGTGTGTACGTGAGTTGTTATAATAATCTTTAGATCAGTATTAAAGATAATGAGTGAAACCTACACTTATAAGAGTCCATATTTTAAATTAAAAAAATGTAAGAGCCTGTTTGGATCCTCTCTTTTTTTAGCTACAAGTTACTTTTACGTCAAAGCTAAAATAAAGCTAAAAGTTGTTTGATAATTGCATAAAATTTTTAACTTAAAAGCCCAAACCTCATTTCAAGAAAAGCTGATAAGAGCTTAAAAGAAAAAAGCTCCTCCTAGGAGCTTTTGGCTTTTTTCTTCATTATAAAGAAAAGCTCTTTCTATTATAAAAGCTTTTGTAAAAAACTGTTTAGTCTAATTTCTGCTTATAAGGAGAAGAGAAACTACAAAAAAGAGGATCCAAACAGGCACTAAGTCCATTGTGAAGCCCAAAAGTATATCTACTAAATCATAAGCCATAATTTATAATCTAAATCTTTAGGGTCGAAGGGAACCAACAAATATTTCGCCACAGCTCTACAAACAGATATTTTGATATTTTAGTTGGACTACTAACACAAAGTATGCATTGGTCCACATAGCTTGATAGATAAAGATCTATTACGATGGAACCTTAACCAAGTAAAATTAAATTGAAGTAAACTAGATAACTATTGTTCTAACCAATTCTGTTTTCACATTATTGACTTCTCTTCTTGCGAGGTTAACATCTGTTGCTTGACCTTGAAACCTTGCAATTGGCTGCAAATTGAAAACATTAACTTGGTTAAGATGTGTGGATAAAATATCCCCAAAAGACATGCAAAACTAAGTACGGGAAGAAGTGGTTGACATCAAACCTGTCTTATCATTATTGTTGATGATGGCAAAGCAGAACGGTTTCCCTTTGCACCAGCAGCCAAAAGTAAGGCTGCTTCTCCCCAAGCATTACCAACACACAGCGTAAAAATAGGAGGCTTGACATACCTGTAGCAGAACAACTTAACTAGGTTTATAAACACAAACTTTCTGTGGGGAATTCTTCAAGTTGCGAAAGTTATACAATAAGACAATATATCTTCTATTTAGGGGTGGGCTTATGCATGGAAGAGTAAACATAGTTTATTCCAGTAATAAATATTTGACATCTTGTCCACATAAAAACTAAAACATGATATAAACATCTTGTTTTCAACATTTAAGGGTAGAAGTCTTAATCCAGAATACAAATAAAGAGAGACAAGGTAAGCAGTATGCCAGAACAAATCTCTACTAAGTTGCATGTCTATGGCACAGCAGGACCATGATATGCAAAACTTGGTAAATAAACATCCTCAAAGACAGATCAGCATTTGGTGATGGTATAGATAACTGTAATCTGTTATGCCTCAATATAATGAAATTTCGGAAAACGCAATTTATTTCATTAACAAAATTCATGACAAACTTCATCTAGGAAATTCACAACAACCTCTAATCTGGGTTGCTTATACATGTAAGCTGAATATATTTGCTTCATGAATCAAGACAAAACTCAGGGACAATAATGGCTTTAAGAAAAGAGTAAATTGAGTAATCTGCAAGTCAGATGAAGGCTCTAGTATAATTTAGAGATCATCAAAGGTATCCAAAACAGTCAACATCGGCTAGTTAATCACTTTCAATGAAAAATACTTGGGTAGGGAGTGCATATTATAGGTATGCTGCTCAGATTGCTATCCTAAAGAGGGACTCATGGGTCCCACCTATCACTAAGATTTGAGTGACAGTGCCTATGTAAGTATTGACGATGCAAGAAACTCTCCACCTTACAACCCACACTACCTGCGATGCAAGGTGGAGAATAGAAGAAAAACAAAAACAATAGTTAAACATTTTTGTTTTTTTCATTCAAACGATGCCTATGCAGTCACGACATAAGGTAAAGAAAATAGATGATATGATCTTAGAAAGCATGGAGATAATAACCTCATCACATCATAAATTGCAAATGCTTCAGTCTCATAACCCAACTTCTCACCTCCCTGAAAGAAGGAAACAACATTCTATTAAATAAGTTGATGTTTTCAAGGAGACTGGAGCAACATTATATTAGCATCTTATTGGAATCATTTGCAGTTCGTTATGCATGGTAAAGTAAAGGGGTGACAATTAAGGCAATGTCGTATGACAGTAGCCAGAAATGAAATCACTAAAGCCCAATGGAGTAGATTGATTCATATAGCAAACACCTCCAAGTGGGATAAGGCTTAGTTGTTGCCGCTGTTATCTTTGTATATAATATTCTTGTTAAATTGGGTGGCTCTCTACTCATAACTGAACTCCAACATTTTGATACAAAAAGAAACATAGTAGGTTTCGTTGATATATATGCTATTTAAATGAATTATTAAATCACAAGTAGTGATATATATGCCTTTGGTAGACGTTTGGCATCATTGTGTCTCCAAGATAAAAACCAAAACCTTAAATCAAAAAAATATACAGTTCCTTGAATTTTCAAAACTCATGCTTCTTTTCTCTAGTTTCTAAATAAATGCATGTGTCAAAATGATAGTTTCAATATATTATTAGCTATTAAGCAAGTTATTCAATATTGGACCCATCTAACTCAAAATCTTGGCTGCATCACTTTTGTCTGTCTTCTAAGATCAATAAGCCAAGGTGGGCATAAAAAGAGAGGCATGGTTGATCCACAGGCTTTAGCTATGTTCTATCCTCAAAAGATTAGGCTAGGTTGGAGTCGCTGGACTTTGCTCAAGAGGTGCATTTTTTCTGCACTATATCTCAATCTAGTGAGGGCATGGGCTAGTGTGCTCATCAACCCCTGTATCTACAATAACTGCTAGTCCATACGTCTACCCTATATCACAATTATAAGCAACTGCTACCAACATTGAAGTTATCAAAATTTACATGGATATGCATTTAAAAATAACAAGCTTAATGATTGAGCAAGTCTTGCAATTTTTGGGGATAACAGTAGAACATGAGCAGGTCTAACTTGAAAACAGGCATCCCTACAAGCATAATATTGATCAAGGTACACAGCGATAGGGAATAATATACAAAAAAAATCCTTATTAATTCCAAAAAAAAATTAATTTACACTTTGAAGCCAATTTTACTTCTTAAAAAATTGTGTTATTTGAACTGTCACATCTATTTCAGTATCTCTCCTCTGAGGCACACACTCCCTAGTCACCCCCCCCCCCCCCCCTCTTCTCTTCATTTCCTGTTACCTCTTACAATCTGCATCAGGCAACTCGTACTATTCACACTTTAGTAATAAGACATGCTTTTAAAAAATTAGTATAAACCAAACTGTGACAGAAATTCTTTCTCATGCAAAAGACAACATCCTAGGTCATATACATAAATAATCATTCCTTACCTTAGTTGTTCCAGTGGAGTTTACGTATAGGTAAATAGGCTTTTGATCATCTTCATATTGAAGATAAAGAAATTCAGCTAGTATCAACTCCGTGACAGATGGAACAAGAGACATGCCCAAATAAACAATTCGATTTTTGTACAAGTAAGAAGCTAAGTCCGGCGGAGGTTGTTCCCATGCACTTCCTCTCGAAAAAGGAATAACCTATCCAAAGACAGAAAAAATGAACAAATAAACCTGCATAAATTATATTGGTAACATATATTGTGTCCCAAAGTGCCATAAAATATTATATAAGTTTTACCACTTAATTGCATAATACATAAATTGTGCACGAACAACATTAAAATTTAAAAAGGATTGAAATTTGCATTTTTCCATTTTATGTTGATTGATGATAGATCATTTTCAATTGATAGTAAGATGAAGCATTCGTGAATTCAAGTTCCCGGCTTCTTTACTTCGAGATAATGTGTTTTTCCCCCTGCTGAGAAGATCAGTATATTTTGTGCCGAGCAAAGAACGTGAAAAATGGAGTCAAAGAGACATGGGAATGAATGCCTTATTCAAACAAATCTCAACTCAACTTTATTACTTACCAACAGCTCTCTTTATTTGCTACAGGACCAGAGTAGTCAGGGGCACAAAAGGCTCCTAAGGTGCCAAGAGGGGTCAGTACCTCTTGGCACCTTAACAGTTCCTTTTTGGTACAGGCAAGGCATGCCTCTAGAATCATATTGAAATAAAGGAAAAAAATACTAAAAACTCAGCCATCTAACTTGCTAAATTGAGTAAAATCATCAGAATGCTAAAAAGAATAACTAGTTGTCAGACCCTGGGCTTCTTAGCAGCAATTAGCCAAGGGTTTCAGTAAATTGAACATCATAATCTTTTATTTATACTATGAACATTATGCTTGAGTAGTTTATTTATATGGAAAAATCAATCCAGAATAGTCAAATATTTTATAGTTTTATTGTTTATAATGTTAAATCTTCTTTCAGCATTTTTGGTACCTCTCTCTCTCTCTCTCTCTCTGTTAGCAACTTTGCTTCCTTGGAAGTGATTAAGGTGATTGACCTCAATGACTAACTCGTACACTTTCCAATCATTTAGTTTATAATGTTAACATCTTCTTCCTTATAAACCCTAAGACCACCTAGTCAATCTGTTATCCAATTCCAACACCGCATTAGAAACGTGAATGCGAAACTCGGGTTGAAAAAGAGTACCATAGTAACGACGCCTCTTTTGCCTTTGGAACAACGAAACGACGCTGGATTGAGAGACGAAGGTCGGAGCTTGTGGCCAGAGAATAGGGAAGAGGCGCTGCTGATACCGGCGAAAGGAGCGACGAAGTCGGTGGAGAGAGATTTCCTGACGGAGGCGGAGGAAGAGTTCATGGCTCGGATAGGGCTTGTGATTCGAGATGAAGACGATAACGCCAGCATTGGTTTGTTGAGTGCGAAGCTTGAAGCTGCGGTTGCAACCTCCATGGCTTCAACTGTGAGAGACTGGAGCTCGAACAGAAGCAACCCACAACTTTGAAATGCATGTTCTTGGGCCCATTGAATTGGGCCTCGAGCCCTTCTTCAATTGGGCCTCGAGCTTTATTTGTGTGGTTTTCCTCGTTTTCTTTATGAACATGATGACCTTGTCAGTTGTCACTGGGGGCTGGCTCACTATTAATCTTTGTAGTTGCAGGGATCCACTGCTCTTGTAAGTAAAATAGTTATGTTACGGTTAGCACGTTGAAAATGGTAATTTTATTTTTATACCGATTCTAATTACTTTTTTTTTTTTTGCCAACTGAACTATATCCGTCGGATGAAAATGATAATTTTATTTCATTGTTTAATACATGCAATAGTCGTTTTAATGTTTATTAGAAGAGAAAAAAAAAAAAACACGAGTCGGGATTTTGTTCTTTGTCATTTCTACGACTATAAATTATAAATCATCCTTCCTTTTCAGAGAAGCTAGGTTAGTAATTACACATTTACATGTCCGTTGTCCGTGTAATTTTTTTTTTTCTTAATATTTTATTATTAGTTATATAATGACAATTATTATCTTCGTTAAATCTATATTTCGTAAATCCCAACTTTGGGCGTTTGGTACGCGGGATTCTTCAAGAATCTCGGGAAACTGAATTTTTCTAAATTTTAAATTTACGGATATTATCATAAAATCATACTTTTAAAAATTGAAATTCCCGGCTAAAAAAAAATTTCTCCTGTACCAAACGTCCTATCAGTTCAATCTACTATTCATGTCTTGCACTCAATTTCAAATGTTGACTGTTAAATTCAAACGTCTATTATACCGTTTCGTATTCTTTCTTTCTTTTTTTCTTTCTTTTTGGACATTCAATTTTATCAATTTCAATCATTGAATTAGAAATTTTAATTACATAAATTAAGTATACAAAAAATCATGCAATTTAAAAACTATTTAGTACTTCATTGCATCATTTTTTAAAAATTCATGAAATTGATAATCGATGCATCGTTATATTTTACGTTTAATATGTCTTTTAAAATATAAGGAAATATCAACTATTACATTATGTAGCTCTAAATATCCAACTAATGTAAGATTTATAAACATGATTATTAAGATAATACCATATGATTCAACAATTGAATTGGCTAAATTCATATTTCATAAAAAATTATTAAATAGTGTACACTGATTAATATTGAAAGGTTAATGGGCAAAAAATTGATCAAATATTATGAATCATTTTTTTTAAAAAACTGATCCTAATTACTTCTTTTGAGGCGAATCAGAACCCCCGGTATCCCCACAGGTTCGACTCTTTGAGCCACCTATGGGACTAATCCAGAGTTCAGATGCGAGTCCAATGATTACGGTACTTATACCCCTCCCCAGATGGTGTTGGTGGAATTCGAACTAAGGTCTTCTCCCACCACTCAGTCCCCATGCTACTAACTAAGCCACCACACTTGGGTTATGAATCATTTTTTTAGTCTTTATGCTAACAAATTATAGAAATATAGTCACAAGTTTTAAACATGTTACCAGTCACACATATATATATATATATGTGTGTGTGTGTGTGATCTGGATAAATACTATGCAAATACAATGCCAAACATAAAAGCCTTCACAATGAAGCAAAGCCTTAGTCCAAAAAGGCTGCAAGCTCCACCATAATAAATACATGCTGCTATCTTATCTCTTTCACCAAGGCTATCTCAGCAAGCACCTTAATATTTATGGCTACATGATAAACAAGCTCCATGACAGCCAGCAAGCTCCTCAACCTTAAAGACACCATGACAGCAAGCTCCTCAACATTTAATCATGGCAGCTCAATTACTTAGCCTCCAAGGCAAAGCAAACCTGATCACTAAGTAACATCTTCCCAAGCTGCTCATTTCTCCACTATAAATACATGTATCAACACTAAGGTACATCATCTTCTTCTACATACTTAAACTTGCTTGAACCATAACTGACTTGAGCGTCAGAGTGTCTTGCAGGTACATCCCCCATCGCGTTCCACAGAAGACCCATGGGATAAAGCGGCCCAACTGCAAGATGCTCTGACCCAAGACGATCACAGGCTGTATAGAGGAAGATCACATGATCGACCCATTTGTAATTATCTGGTCTGATCATTGACGCCGTCTGTGGGAACGACAAATTTCTACTCCCACCACCATGTGCAAAACCAACGCTATGTGCAAAACCAACGCTGAAGGATACCAGGGAAGTCCTAATACTCTTATTTTTCTATCTCGCAATTATACCCAAAAAAAGGTACACGCACTCTGCTTGTGTTTTTTATATTTCGTGACTGGAGGTAATTATTACTGCAAATATATGATCATTGCACAAGCCATGATTGTCTACCGTGCGCACAAGGATGAAATGTTTCATCGCGCCAATTGGATTATCCTGATTACCGTGCAATGATCCCACTTCTAATGGGATATCTCCCAATAGTGCGCGATACTGATGTTGTGAATCTCACATAAACTGTCTCATACCATCCGTATCCCGGAAATTGTGTCACACAGTTCACCATATAAGCATTGTGGGGCATCCATTTTTGCCACGTATCAATTGTATATACTTGTCAACCACAAATTAGCCAAGCCATGCATAAACCACACTTTCTTACTAAAAGTGACGTCATCATGCTTGGTCAAAAGGCTTATCATTTGAGATAAAGTAAGACCAAATAAAATGTAAAATAATATAATATCAAAGCTTACGTACAGTATTTGGCGACATTTATTGCGCAAAGCCAATAGCTTTGTCTTTGTGTAAAGCCAATAGATATAATATATTGGTTACACAACATATATTATCAAAGTAAAATAGCATTCTGCCATTAGCTTGGTCAAATATATTGTGCAACGACATTTATTGCGCAGAGCCAATAGCATTCTTCAAATGAAGTCAAAACAGTGCGCGATGCCCGTACAATGAGAGCGCGATGCAACACTTATTGATGTCCAGATTTGAAGTTCACGGGATGCTTGTAGTCTGACCATTGGGTTTTTGAGTTATTTTCATAGGCACCATGATTAAAAACTTCTCATACATATCGCGAGTCTAAGAGAGGGATATCAACTTTTCACATGTGGAAACCGTGTGACCATTACCTATTGTCCACTTTTATGCTCTCTAAAACCACAGACCCGAATGTTTATTGAAAAGTCCATATTTATACATATCATATTTATACGTGTTGCGCCACATTCATATCTATCGCGAGATAAAAATTGTTCTATTACTTTGAAGCACGAAGGGATAAGTATCGCGCACCAAAGGATAAGCCATGATATTGGATATTGTCCTTTTGAAGAATATTTTAAAGTTTTAGGACATCATTGTGCAAGGACAGACCATGTTTTGGACATCATCCTTATTAGAATATTCAAAACTAAAGCTAGAGTTTGCACAGCCCTTGAACCGTATGCCAAAGTTTACCCACGTCAACTTTAAAGGATCCATACGTCAACTTTTTTGGTTATCGCGCCATTACTTTTGGTATACTACCATTTTATTTGGATCGCGCAAGTATACTGGATTCATTATAGGATATGATCATGAGCTGAACTTGCTTTACATGGTTAAACTTTAAAGTTGTTGGGGACTTTACTCAAGGATCCAGTAACCAAACTATCTACTTGATCAAGTAGCCAAAATTTAGTGAGGCTGGATATCATTATTACGATGACATAAATGCCAAAGGTTTATTAAAACAATGTTTCATAGAGCTGGAAGGTCCCATATGTCGCAATAAAAGAACTTGAAGGATGCATATTTTTAGGCTTATGATCACAGTATGGCACAAAAAGTTACATTACAGGTTTACAGTTATATAAGGCAACATGACCACCTAGTTGCAGGATGCTTTGAGTAAAAGTCAAATTAACAAAGTCTAGTATGAGCACATCCTAGGCTTATGAATCATTTTTATGAATCATCCTAGTCCTGCTACAAGGGTTGAACTATGACAAACATAAAATAAAGGCCTAGCAGGCTATCATGTATTGAATCTTCATGTGCCCCTTTCAGAAGGTATTATGAATGCTTACATCACTTTTTGATCATATCTCTTGTGAGACTACTTAACTCACAGGATGCTCACGCAGTACAAATCGTGACATATCTGACTTATTTTGATAATCTTATGTCTCTGTTATGAAATTCATACAAGTTGCAGGGACTCATGGACAATAAACAGTGAAGATCTCAATCTCACTGAAAATGCAGATAGACTTAAAACAGTTTATCTGATTTATATGCCCTTATCTTGAGGTATCTTAACTACTTCTATTGTGAAATCCATAAGAGATTGCAGGCCTCCATGATTGCTAAAAGGCGAAGACAAAAATCTCGCGTGAAATGCAGACAAACTCAAAAACAAATGCTACATTTCCTATCAGCAACATTATTATTTTAACATGATCTTGTTACAATTATCATCTCCATGATATGTTGTTATTATTCTGTGAGATCTATGAAAATTACAGGTTTCACCAAACAGAAGAAAAGTTCTCCAAGTTAAAGCGCAATGAAGAACATTACAGGGTTCTCTCACGAATCCTCCAATTTACAGGAAACCTCTCACAGTTCCTAACAAATTACAGGGTTCTCTCACGAATCCTCCAATTAACAGGAAACCTCTCACGATTCCTATCAACTTACAGGATTATCTCACGAATCCTATCAACTTACAGGATTCTCTCACGAATCCTCCAATTTACAGGAAACCTCTCACAGTTCCTATCAACTTACAGGGTTCTCTCACGAATCCTCCAATCTACAGGAAACCTCTCACGGTTCTTATCAGCTTACAGGATTCTCTCACGAATCCTCCAATTAACAGGATACCTCTCATGGATCCTATCAAGTAACAGAATTCTCTCACGAATCCTCCAATTGACAGGATTCTCCCACGAATCCTCCAATCAACAGACTCCCTCACAAGGATCCTCTCAACGGATCGGAACCATTCACATCGCGATCCTCCAAGTCTTATCGCGATCCTCCATGATCAAGCGTGATACAAGGCAGGATAAACCCCACCTAGGGTCAAACTCCTTCCTAAGATACATCTGGCATACGACAACATGCCAATAACAAGGTACGCAAAATATATGCATTATGAATTATAAACTGTATAAAACTGCAGGATACAACTATGAAGCTCTCCAGTACTCATACAAAGTACAGACCATAGTTCCAGCTAAAGGAACAAGCGCAACGCAGCTTTCAGGTGCAAGTCAAATGAATTTCCTAGGCTGATAACAGACAAATCATCTCGCAGACTTAGTGCCTGTTTGGATCCTCTCTTTTTTAAGCAAGAAACTACTTATAAGCATAAGCTAGGCCAAACAGGTTTTGGAAAAAGTTCTTATAATGAAAAGCTCTTATTTTTATAATGAAGAAAAAAGCTGAAAACTAAAAGCTCCTAGTAGGAGCTTTTTTTTTAGCTCTTATCTGTTTTTCTTGAATTGTGTGCTTTTTTTTTTAAATGAAGAGTTATAAATATAGAGAGAGAAATAATTTTCTTGAAACATGTGCTTTTAAGTAATTTTTAAGCTAAATTACCAAACAGCTTTTAGCTTCTTTTTTTAAACTCTTATTTTTAGCTTTAGCTTATAAGTAACTTCTAGCTTAAAAAAGAGGATCCAAACAGGCTCTTATACATCTCGCTCCTCATGCCTTCGGCATAAGCAACGAGCTAAGGGGCTTCTGATCTGGATAAATACTATGCAAATACAAGACCCAACATAAAAGCTTCACAATGAAGCAAAGCCTTAGTCCAAAAAGGCTGCAAGCTCCACCATAATAAATACATGCTTCTATCTTATCTCTTCCACCAAGGCTATCTCAGCAAACACCTTAATATTTATGGCTACATGACAAACAAGCTCCATGACAGCCAGCAAGCTCCTCAACCTTAAAGACACCATGACAGCAAGCTCATCAACATTTAATCATGGCAGCTCAATTACTTAGCCTCCAAGGCAAAGCAAACCTGATCACTAAGTAACATCTTCCCAAGCTGCTCATCTCTCCACTCTAAATACATATATCAACACTAAGGTACATCATCTTCTTCTACATACTTAAACCTGCTTGAACCATAACTGACTTGAACGTCGGAATGTCTTGCAGGTACACCCCCCATCGCGTTCCACAGAAGACCCATGGGATAAAGCGGCCCAACTGCAAGATGCTCTGACCCAAGACGATCACAGGCTGTGTAGAGGAAGATCACATGATCGGCCCATTTGTAATTATCTGGTCTGATCAATATGCAAGAAAATTTAAATGGAATTAGACATTAGTATTCCACCAGAGTCAAAGAAAAGCCCCCTCAATCTCTTTGAGAATTTTCGAAAAAAATTACATATCAATATCACCCATCTATAAAGTACGGGATTTGAATCCATACCCTTGTGGGATATGGAGCAAACCTTTTTTATTTATGTAAGGTGTCGATGTTTTTTGCAAAGAAAAAATAAACGGCGCCAAAGATCATGTTGTTTATCACTTTTGTGAAAAAAAACAAAAACAAAAACTATCTTATAGTTTTCCCACGCCTGTGTTAGTTCGGTGCTTACAAGGATCTTCTTACAGTTCTTCTTATTCCAATACCTGATATACCTGCAATTCTACCCAGAACTGGCACTTGGTTATCTATAAGTTTAGTATTGATTAACATTCATTATTCCGTTGATATTATTCTTTTTTATTTTTATCTTGAAAGAACACATTGTTAATCCGCTAATTAAATAATAAATAACAAATATTGTTAACCAAGCATTCGTGAGGAGTAGTATATCAAAGGGCAGAAGAAACATTTTCAACCTATTTATCATGTCTGAAATATGTCTGAAACTTCTCCAACTACTAAAAAGAATAAAGCAATTTGAATTTGAAGTGACTCTAATTCATTAACCACCTCAAGTGATTTAAACAAAACAAGAGTAGTTGTACATGATTCACATATAACCATATAACAGAGAACCATCCAAAGAGACAAGATAAAAAGCAAACAGAAAAAAAAAAATTGTAATTTGCAATGCAAATAGATCGAAACTCAATTAGGGTTTACTTGTCAATAATGCAAGACCCCAACCCTAGAAGATTTGGTTTTCTTCTTGGATTGCTTCTTCTGCTTCTCCATAGCACCAATATCAGTTCTCTCTCTCCACTTACTCTTGCAGAGTTTGATTGGTCTGTTCCCAACGTATTTCCCATTCATCTCTTTCAGCGCAACGGCCAGATCCGCAGGATCCGCGAAGCTCACGAATCCGTAGCCTTTGGTTTTCCCTGAACGCTTGTCCCTCACAACCCTAGCCATGTTGAACGAAGGGAAACGCGAGAACGCCTTCGACAAAACGTCGTCGTTCACCTCGTTTCCTAGATCGCCGCAGAACAGCCGGTGGTCGTTCTCCGGCCACTCTGCCAGCGACGGATCCTCCCACGACTGACCGGCGGCTCTCCGGGGAACCGCCTTCTTCTTCGCCTCCGCCTTGTGCTCGATCTCGCTGTTCGCGATTGCAGCTTTCACGTTCTCGAGAGCTTCCGGCGTGATCGTCTGCGCGTCCCTCTGGAATAGCTGCTGTGCGTCCCTCTGGAACTGCGGCGCCTGAGGATACGGATACGCCGGTGGTGGCGCCGCAGCCGCGTACGGCGCAGAGTAGTCGTAGTGTGTGGCGGGTTGCTGGAGGTGGAAAGGCATGGGGAAGTAAGAGGCATCGGAGGAGTAGGTGAACTGGGAGGAAGAAGAAGCGGAGGAAGAAGATTGGTTTGCCATGAATCCCTTTGATTGAATCGAATTAGGGTTTCAGAATTGGGAATTCGGAAGCGATGTCGAGGGTTTTGATTTTTCGAGAAAGGTGATTCGATGCCAAAATATTGGTAAATTCAGGAACTTTCTTTTCAAGGGAAAAAAAAATCAATTTTAACTTTTGGAGCGAGACAGGAATAGGGGTGTAAATGGTCTGGGCTGGGCTTTGACCTTTCTGGCTTAAACCTACATAAAAAAAATTCAGCCTATCTGGCCTACTGGACTATTAAAGACTTTATTTGTAAGCCAAGTTCGGCCTATTTTTAAAAATATGAAAGCCCGACATGGCCTACAGACCTTGTTACCATTGTAGATACTAAGCAAAGAAAATAATTGTACAGAGCAAAGAAAGTTTCAAGTACTTCTCATAAGAAAAAAATAACAAACAAGAAAGAGTCAACATAATACCTCAGCTTTAGAATGTATATCATAGAGAAATAGAGTCAAAGAAATGGAAAAAATAAGAAAAATACAATTATTGGGTGCTGAAATAAAGTCTACAAGAGAATGTCATTTATCTAAAAATTACGGTTAGTATTGGTACTTTGCCATGCCACATAAAATAAATATTATTTTATTATTTTATTTTTAATAAATTAAATAGGCCAGCCTAAAAGGCTTTGGGCTAGGCTTGATTAAATTGGCCTACGCCCTATTTCTTAAAAAGGCTAAGCCTACTCTATTTTTCTGAAAGGTCGGGCCAAGTCAGGCTTAATGTAGGCCGGGTTGTAGGCCGGGCCGGGCCAGCTTGGCCCATTTACAACCCTAAGCAGGAAGATATTTTTAGTATATCGAAAAAGAATTGCAATTATTATTTTTAAAGGGGAAGGCTAGTTTGAGAATTAATATTTATATCTTTTTAAATATTTATTTATTGTTAAATATAATTTTAACAACCAACTAATTGGTATTATTTTATGGAGTAGTATATTGTAACAACCAACTAATGTTACTACTAATCAATTTCACTGTTAGATCGATTATGTTGATCCAATGGTTATATTTATCTTCATCTTTGTATGGTTATGATTCCCCATATTTAATGCTTAACATGAGGAATCATAACCATACAAAGGTGCAAATAAATATAAAGTATTAAATATGGAGAATCATAACCATATAAAGATGAAAATAAATATAGTTGTTGGATCAACATAATCGATCTAACAGTGAAATTGATTGGTAGTAACACTAGTTGGTTGTTACAATATCTTTCCCTTTATTTTATTAAAAGGATCAATATAAAATCTCATTTGCATTTTGGTACCTTGAAGCACATACTTCCACGTCTTGCATATACTATGCCACACATCCTTACTTACATTTTAGAACACAAAACTAATGGGCTTTTGACAGTATTAATTCCTTTGACAAAAAATTTGATCGGATTAAGCTTCTGATCAAACTTATTGTCATAGTAATGCATAATGATGCGTTACTGAAATAATCGCTTTAAGACACGACATGATTAATGATGAGTTATGTGCAATTTCAGGTGGTCAAAAGCGTTTGAATTAGAACTGCATTTATTATACAAAGACGCGTTACACATCTTACCGTATTTATTGAGCTGACATGACTTTGAACGTGACGCATTAGAGACGCGATTAGAAACATGTTGCATTTGATGGTGTCTTGATGATGTCAGGTCACAGAAGACACGGCTTTGTGCTTGATGGTGACCAAGCACAAGACACGGCTTTGTCAGTGCCGTGTCTAAAAGCGGTCTTCCGGTCATCACGTTTCTAGCTTTATAATTCAGTCTCATGTCCCCACCTTCCCTTTACCCCATTATCACCTTACTCTCTCATTTCTCTGTTATTCATTTGTCTGAGATATTTTTTTTATTTTGTGGGTAAAACTTTAAAACCCACTTGTGCTTTCTTGTGTGAGTAAAAAATTATATTCCATTCTCAACGTGTTTTGGACCACATCTTGTGCGGTTTTATATCTACCCACGTGGATGTGCTTTCTTCTTCAACGTGTTTTGAACTTCAGCAACCAAGCAAGTATGATTTAAAAACTTTGTTATTTTACTTGAGACATGATTGCTAGCTTTACGTTAGATGTTTCCCAAACCACAATGTAGGACAAATCCAAAATAAAGTAAAACAAAATTATAGCTACCAAAAATTTTGAGCTGCTCTTTTTCTTATCTTCTTAAGGAATTGTTTAATAGTTTAGCTTATGGATTATTGGCCTTCTAGCATGCTTATAGCAAGATATTAATTGGAATTGAATTATTGAAAACACATACTATTAAGGGTTAGAGGCCATTCTCACCTAGTTAACATATGTAGAGCCAAGCTCGCATGAACAATATATGCATCTTAACTACATTATTTAGTTTAATGATTATGTGTAACATTGTATTTTTTGCTTTTAGAAAAATTACATTCTAAAGTAATGCACGAGTTTACTGTAGGTGTGCTTCACCAAAGCAGTGATGAGCATCTCTCGGGCTCCCTTAAAATTGCTATTCACTCATTTAGCTAAATTAGTTGTCATATGACCATAAAGACGTCCATTAACATCATATGCACGACTCCATTTCTCTTTTGGGATGCTATCAATCCAAGTCGCCACTTCCGGACTATTGCTCTGAAATTCGTCCAACTTAGCATCAAAATTGACTTGGGAAGGAGTATAACCTGCACGAAATTTTGCACGAAATCATTAATCGTCATTTAGATAAATTGCATTACAAGTGGAGAAAGTTAAGGTCATACCTAGATTCTTCAATTGTTGCTTCCATTCCACATTTTTGAATCTTTGATTGAAGTTACTTACAATATGTCTCAGGCAAAAACATGGTACACCTGTGAAGGCTGACAATCAAGATTTGGATTTGCAACTGCCGATAATATACTTCGATGTCGATATGAGATTAGGCATATACCTTTTTTAGTGACATACAAACATACACAACCCAAAAAGTATTCCCAAGCCTCCTTTGTTTCACTTTCAACAACTGCAAATGCCAATGGTAATTCTTCATCATTTCCATCCTGTGTTATGGTGATCATCAACGTACCTCTTTACTTCCCATATAAGTGCATGTCATCAACTTGTATAACAGGTTTATTGAAGTTAATGCGTCACGACACTGTCTAAAAGTCCAGAAAACTTTATCGAAAACTCGGTAACCATTAACAACCCGGTGATTTACCGCATAGGCATTTGTTTGAATGTGGTAAACATAACCCTCAGAAAAACGTAGCATGTAATTAAACCACCTAGGTAAATAAGTATAAGATTGGTCCGAATGGCCAAAAATCTTTGCCATGGCTTTTTGTTTAGCCTTCCATGCCTTCCAGTATAAAACAGTAAATCCAAAATTTCCACGGATTCTTTCTTAAATCAACCCAGTTGATACATGTGGTTCTTCCTTTACCATATATGTTAAAACATTATATATATAGTTTTGATTAAAAATCAGTTGACATAACACCTCAGACAATACAACTTTAATTAAAAAAATATTACTCACCCAATATAGTTGAAGGAATGAATACAGAATCAAGTTGTCTATAATCTTGGGACATATTACAACTGAAACAATTGTGAGGTCCCACCAATCTGCTGACCACCCACATTGATCCATTTTTTGGTTTCATTACCCTCATTCGCCATAGACCTCCCGAATCATGGTTCTTGCACCTCATGACTAGCTTTAAAGTTGTACTCTCAACAATAACAACTTCCTGATTGCTTTAGGTGTTATTAGTGTGTCTACAAAAGATCTGTGAGATGTAAACATTATTCGGGAAGCAAGTCTGTGACCTAAGATTCATTTTCCAGCATTATTCGACAAGTCTCAATGAAAGGTAACTTTCTATATTTATTTATTTGTTATAACTGTTTTAATAGCAATAAACCGTATAATTGTTTTTTACTTTTGGATTTTTGGGTTGTAATTGTTTCATTAACATAATGAGTATAATTGATTTAAGTATAAATTATGGTTTGTCAGGGATACAATCCTATTTCAAACGTCTAAAACCCACAAATATAGAACCCAGATCTCAAAGCGAACAAGTTTCAAATAGTATTTCAGTTCCAACTGTCCAAGAATCCTATCAACCTCATAGACAAAATGTTTTGATTGTGGAAAATTCTCCTCAAGAGCAAAGACAAAATGTACCACCACAAGCATCTCAATTTCAAAGTTTTCAATCACCAACTCAAGCAAAAGTTAATATAGAAAATCTTGAAGCGGATTCGGGAAAAAGACCTTCAATTTATTCAATGACACCAAATCCTATAGAGAGAGAGGATATTCGGAGAGCTTATTTGCTCAAGGGGCCAACTCAACCAATTCTTAAATCATTCCCTCAAATGGAAATGCATGGAAAAATGCGTAGATTCAATCCTAAGTGGTATGAAGAATTTGGTTCTTGGTTAGAGTATAGTGTATCACAAGATGCATATTATTGCTTGTATTGTTATCTATTTTATATGGAGGTTGGAGGTTGGAGGTAGTGGTTCGACGCATGAAGCATTTGTTAGTGTGGGGTTCAAAAATTGGCAGAAGAAGAACAAAATCAAAGTTCATGTTGGAGATTATAGGAGTGTTCGCAATAGATGTTATCAAGCTGGTCAAGATTTGATGAAGCAGAAACAACATATTGATATTGCCTTTTCAAATATTTCTGAGCAACAAAGAATTGATTATCGTATTCGGCTGAAAACTTCTTTAGATTGTGCTAGATACCTACGAAATGGTCAGCCTTTTCGGGGATATGATGAATCTAAAAGTTCAAATCAATAAGGTTTATTTCTTGAAACTCTAAAGTTTTATACTAAGCCAAATAAAGATATGAGTCATGTGGTCTTGCAAAATGCCCCCGATAATCACAAATTGACTTCACCAAAAATTCAGAAAGATCTTGCTTAAGCTTGTGCTAATTTGACTGTTAAAGCAATAATTAGTGATCTCGACGATGATTACTTTTCGTTGCTAGTTGATGAAGCTCTTGATATTGTAATTAAAGAACAAATGGCAGTTGTACTTCAGTATGTAAACAAAAGGGGTTCATTTTTGAATGTTTTATAGGGTTTGATTTTCTCATG